ACAACAAACTCACATAGCACCTGTGCTTCCTGTAGTTGTGTGGTGCCCTCAAAAGTGAAATGCAGGGGCTGGGGATTTAGCTGAGCGGCATAAGTGCCTGCCTTGCAAGCAGGCAGTCGTGAGTTCGATCCCCGGTACCGATAAAAAGGAAAAAGACCAAAAAAAAAAAAAAAAAAGTGAAATGCAGAGCCAGGTGTGGTGACACACACCTGTAATCCCAGTGTAATCTCCCACCTGTAATTGGAAGACTGAGGCAGGAGGATCAGCACAAGTTCAAGGCCAGCCTACACTACAAAGTGAGACACTGTCACAAAAGAAAAAAAAAAAAGTGAAGTGCAAAAGGGCATGGTGGCCCACACCAATTCTCAGCACTCAGGCGGCTGGCAGAATTGTCCAGCTTGGACTAAATAATAATAAACATTTCAGAAAATAAAAAAATTTTTAAAAGTTCAGCTTTCTGAGGCAGGAAAGTGGTGGTGGTATATATTAGGAAACTTAAAGAGCTAGAACAAAAAGATTTTCTGGATACTATGTAAGAAAATTTAGTGAACTAAATATGCAAATTTTAGGTTTCATTTAATGGCCAGAAGTTTTAAATATATAAAATAAAATTCACACATTTCTATTTCTGTAGTATAAAAGTTTTAAAACTACAAATTAAAGAGCTATTTAACATTTTATTCTGAGCATGTAACTACGTCTTACCTTTCAGACAAGCCCTGAATCAAATATTTATTCCTGTCTCTGTAGAAGGAGTCCCAGAAATTGGAATCTAACCAAACTACCAGACAGCACCTGAAACTGTGTATAGTCCTTTCTCATAACACATATGTGGCAGTCACTGCTCATGTGTTAACTGTATTTCCAACCCAGGAAACCTGCACAACCAACATTAATACTTTTGCCGGAAACTGCACATTTGAAGTGGAAACCTTACTTAGGGAAGTAGGTTTCTAAATGCAGTGACATTGCTGGCAGAATTACATGACTTATTACGTCCCTTAGTGCTTATACTACTATCTTAAGGAATAGAATTTTAGTTTGCTATGTGATTTCTAATAGACTGAGAACCCCGAAAGTTCTGCCTTAATCTTGACCCCCTCTGCTTATTCAAAAATGGCCACATTGAAAACTTAACAAAAATATTCATTTTAACCCTGAAGAATCCTAGTGACCTAAACTCAGAAGTGGTCACTTAGAAGTCGGGTAATATAACTTCACGTTCTCAACAGTTTCTGGAGACAGAAATGCTCCAAATGAGTAGTAAGACTCTTGCAGATCTGACTCAAGTGACTTCCAGATGAGTCCTGCACCTTCCTCGTTTTTTCTGGATTCTACTTTTCCCCAACAGCTGTTTCACAAGAGCGTTAGGACACATGCCAGTTACTTTCCTCTAGCCCAAAGAAATCAATGAGTTGTAAAATGGACACGTTACAGTCCAGTGGGAGAAAAGACAATTACATAATTATGAAGGAGCCGGGGGCTGGGGATTTAGCTCAGCGGCATAAGCACCTGCCTTGCAAGCAGGCGGTCGTGAGTTCGATCCCTGGTACCGATAAAAAAGAAAAAGACAAAAAAAAAAAAAAATTACGAAGGAACCAATAATGGGGGGTAGGAAGAATTTCATAAGTGATGAGACCTAAAAGTTGAGAAGTGCTGCAAACATCAAAGAACAAAAATGCCCTAAAGGGGAAAATGTATACTGATTTTAAAGCAAATAAATAGCATTGTGGGAAAAAATGTAAACCTATTATATTCAGCATTTAACAGAGGGAAATGTGATTGGGAAATTTAGCAGGGAAGAGATCATATAGAGCTTGAAAGCTGCTAAAGCAAGAAAGTCATAATCCCACGTATACTTTTGAACATTATTCTGTTACTGGAGGTATAATAGTAGAGATGTAATAGTAGGGAGATAAATTAGGAAACCATTAAGACATCTAAATAAAAGGTGAGGGTAAATCAGGAGTAAGCAATCGGGAGACTTTTAAGTGATGAACATGAGTTAGGTAGAACAAAGGGTAACAAGCCACTGAAAAACATACAGTGGCATTAAATCCCAAGACCATGACCCATTCCATCATGGTGAACTGCCTGGTATGGCAGTATCAAAGGGTATATGGCAAAAGTAAAGGCAAAAAGACCAATTTTTAGAAAACTATTGTAATATAAGCAAAAAAGTATGGTGGCCTGAACTAAGTAGCAGCAGAAGGGAGGAAGAAGCAGAGCTGTCTACTACTGTAAGTAGGTAAGAGATTTAAAGAGGTGGGGGAGGGGGAAAGAATGGAATAACAGGGTTTCTATCTTTGAGGAGATGATGGTACTGCTGACTACAGTAGCAGGAACAGAGACAGTGGGAAAGATGAGTTCATGTTAATACATGCTGCCATCCCAGAAGAACACCTAGTAGACAGATGTATGTATGAGGTATCCACGTATCTGGTTTAGAAGGATACGAAGATTAGACATACAATTTTAGAAGCCACAGCAGAACAAATGGAGGGTAAAGCTTGAGAAAGACTAAGGACTGGCAGGGAAATACACAATAAGAGCATAGTTCATAACCTAGCTGACACTGTTCAATGGCAGACTTTCAGACTGGATGCTTCTTGTAAGTTGTTTAGCAATATTCCTAAATTGTACCTAACTAGATTCCTATACGACCCACCCAATTGTGACAATCAGATGTCTCCAGACATTGCCAAATGTCTCCTAGGGGTAAAGTCACCTCCCAGGTGCAATACCACCTAAGGGAAGTATCTCAAGGACACTGAAATAAAGAAGGCTAAAATTTAATTCACAAGCATAAAACTGTAACTGACCCCAAAACAAGGTGTCACCATCACACTCCAGTAAGTCCCACTACTCATCCAGCACCAAGAGTAGTTAACATTTGCCAAGTTTGTGATCAGACCCTTATCTGCACCTGTCTGAGGCAAAAACTCATGAGGAAATTGATACAGTCAGGTAAAGTAACATGCCCAAAATCACACTAAGTGATAAATCCATACTGAAACCTGACTTCAGGGTCTAATTCCAAAGCCCATTCGCTAAAAGCAAACAAGCTCAACTGCTGGCCCACTTGTCCTCCATTTGCTACAAGTAGTTCAAGAAAGGGCTGCTTTTGTCTTGCTAACATGTAGCTCATGCTTAGTAACAGACATTCAAACACTTAGTCTCACTTCAAACTTTAACTCTTTAAGCCCACAGTAAAGTGCTTTAGACACTGATAGCTTGCAAACAGCAAGTCAGTACACCAAGGCATAGAAAATGTCTTCCACTCTGAAAGTAAATAAGCAGTCCCAGGGTCTGACAATGCATTGCTAATAGTTGACATTTGAGCATTTCACAGTTCCCAATGAAGTCAGCAGTCTGCAGCCTGAAGCTTCATTCCTATTCTGTTACCGACCTGTTGCCTTTTTATCTACCCCTTTGAGGCCCCAGGAGATTGGGAACTAGTACTTTTGTAAAATGATGAAGTTGTAAATAAATTTTTGATAATATTAACTAGTATTCGTAAGGAACACCAGGTAGCCTTTTTTAAAGTCTGACCTCAGAAATGTTTTAGGGGGGCTGGGGATTTAGCTCAGCGGCATAAGCACCTGCCTTGTAAGCAGGCGGTCGTGAGTTCGATCCCCGGTACTGATAAAAAGAAAAAGACAAAAAAAAAAAAAAAAAAAAGAAATGTTTTAGGAACTGGGTGCCATGGTACAAACCTGTAGTCCTAGCTATAGGGGAGGCTGATGAAGCAGGAGAATCACTTCAGTTCAGAAGTTGAAAATTAGCATGAACAACATAGCAAGACCAGTGAGGGCTGAGGGGGAGACAGGGATAGTAATTCAGTGGTAGAGATTTTGCCTAGTGTATGGAAGGCCCTGCGCTTGATCCTTAGTACTGTCAAAAAGGGGAAAAAACAAAGTTTAAACTAGAAGCAAGTAATCCAGGCACTCAAGACGGCTAACACAGGCAAACCAAGTTTGAGGCCAGATTGAACTACATTAGACCCTATCTAGGAATGTGAACAAGTATCCTACACTGGGTATACCCACTTTGGTGTATTTTTCCTTCCACTGGTTGGCCTTGATACTGTTTTAAAAGGACTATATGTATAGAAATTTCTGCTCCACTGTTGTAGGTTTCTGCAAAGGGTTAATGGTAGCAAATAATTATCGTGCTTTAGTAAATGACCATGTATATTTTTCTGGGCTCAGATGTAGCCTCAAAATATTTTATCAGTTCAAGCCAGGCACTGGTAGTATACCCCTATAATCCCAGCATTCCTGAGAAAGGTGGGCAGAGGATCATAAACTCAGACAGAGCCTGGGCAATTTAGGACACAGACCCTGTTTCAACTTAAAGGGCAGCAGTACCGGTATTGCTGGGGATGTAGACCCTGGGTTATCCTTACAGCATGATAAAAGCTCAGCTCAATAAATAAAGCAGCTAACATTCAAAAGAAATAAAGTTTTCATGTTTGTCTAAAATATACTCAAGTATAGCCCAGAAAACATTAAATTCAAGGCAATGACCTCTGTAAGAAAGCAAACAGAGGGAATTCTCAGGATAAACATCTAGATATGTGACATTCTGCAAAGCAGAATGAAAGGAAATCCCTAATTGACTTTAGTCTGCTTTCTGCACACACTTACACATCTAAAAGTGTTTACTGAAAACCAGGCAAGAAACCTCTACAGCATTTTCAGAGCTAAGCAAGTTCCCCATTGTGCATGGGAAACTTTAATAAAAACACTCAAGCTTAGTAATGCTGTTTGTTAACAAGCCTATTAAAGGTTCAATAGAGTGTATTTTTGACAAATTGTGACATGGAGTTGACTTTAAGGTACAGGGAAAATGCTCTGGTCTAAGTATCAGTTCATTTGTTTAGTAGTATTTAGTAACTGAACTATTTTTGCAGGCTGTTCTTCATGCTCTGATTTGCCACGCTGACCTCTACCCACATGCTGAAACTTAAAAATCACACCCTCTTGCTTCCTTTTCAGCTCCTTTGAAGATTATGAAACAGATGAACCCACCTCTCCCTCTGAACTTGGAAACAAAAGCAATAAAATAGTAACCTCAAGCCTTTCAGAGCAATGTGGAAAGCTTCAGTCAGTGGATGAAGAGTAGCTGCCAAGATCAACATGAGAGGAAGACCTGTATTTAAATGTTTTCTTGTGAAGAGATGCCCTAGTTTGCATAGTGCTTCTTAAAGGCTTTGATTTCTCCAAGTGTGTATCGGCACTAGGAACATTTTTAACTGTTTTTAAGCAGTGGGTCTACATAGACTTGTTTGCCTGATTCTTGCAGAGCTTTTCCTTCGAAGTGTCTGAAACAACGTACCATCACTTCACAAAGTCTGCACATCAGCACTCTTACACCCCTGAATGTAACTTGGTCCCTTGGGGACAGTGCCAAGTAGTTCATCCTCTGCACAGAAGTTGATTCAGTATTGGCCAGCATCCCTGAGGCTCACAGGGCTCCTATGGAGCCTGGAGGAAATGTTCACTAGCAGGAAACGAGTCAGAAAATTCTGGAACTTGAAAATGTAGTCAGGGCCTCCAGAATTGACTTAGTCCTAGTAATAAAAGCACTGCCAAAACATCTCAAGAGACTTCCTTTAATTATGTGTACTGGAGTTCAGAGATCTTGAACTTACCTGGTTTAATGTAATTTCACAATGACCTGCCAAACTGCTAGTCACTTTATATCCTCAGGTATTATAACCACTGGGCCTTCCGATTTAAATGGCAAGCTCTAGCAACCTCCCCATCTTTATTGTGGATCTTAATATAAAATCACAAGAGAAACTTCTTAAATGATACCAAGTACAGAAATTTGACTCATACTTGAAAAGTCTCTTAACACTCATAGGAAACTACTAAATCATTCATTAACCTCCAAATTATCTGGCCCCCTCTTTATAGCATAAGTTCTGAAGACTTAAAAGGAATAGTGATACAGTATTAAGAATTCTTCGACAGTCTTTTCTTCACTGAATATCAACAGTAAAAGCCTCAATCTAACTCTTATTCCTTAATGTTGAAAACAAACTATTAATGCAGATATTTCATCCACCTCAATATTTATTACAAAAATGGAAGCAAATCATGATGGCACCCATAAAAGAAAGCTGTTACTTTCTACAGTGGTGTATGTGTTCAATTCAGAATCCTGCATTGTTTTCAACAGACCAGTATGTAGCTTGTAGCAGGGAGCACTATTAAAAGAATGGATATTTCTAAGAAATGAAATCCCTTCAAAGCAGTTTCTCAGCATATGTCAGTCATTGACTTTTGCCCTACACTTTTTAAATTGAGGAGTCTTAAAACTGTCAGAACAGCTTCACGTTCCACTTCATCTTGGTTCCTCTGACTGGTCTACAGGCCAACACCAAAATAACCTAACACTGGGCAACAGTAAGCAAAAGATGGAGAAAAGACGACAGTGTACAATAAAGTTACCAATCCTAGCCATCCTGCCCCTTACGAGATCTCCTGGTGTCCTGTATGTGTACTTCTATGATTAAATATACTTAAAAATTTGTGACACGTGAAATTTACTACCAATTCCATTGAGCTTTTACCAGGGAAAGTAATTTTTAAAAATTGTTCAGATAAAAATACAAAAGGTTATACTTTAAGGAACCAGATATAGTTTAAAGGTTTTATTACTCAAAATTTTCTAAGGCTCAACAGTGAAACTAAAATTCACTTTTACAATGTATTTTCATTACTATTTGGCTTTACTGCTTTGCCTGTTTTTTCTTTATTAAAATCTTCTTTGACTCTGATGAATATTTGGCTTTAAAACTATAGAAATAAAGTTATCACCATCTTTAACTTGGCTTACCCAAAATTACATTTTTAACAAATACAAGCATGTGATTCACTGTACTCCTTTCTTAGAGTTGAATACAAGGAATGTGAATTCTGAGGAACTAGGATAGTATGTTTGACTTTTTGATAAGGTATGCTAAATAAATAATGCTAAGTATATACTTATTGCCAAACTGGAAATTTCAAATTGTTATAACATCCCAGAATCCTTGATAAAAGGTTAACAGTTACCATGATCTTAATGCTATTTAATGAAAAACAAGTTTCACAGCATAACATTAATTGCAAAGGTAACTGAACTAATAAAACTCTGTATATTTGCCCTGCATCTTACCTGTCACTGTATTGTTCAAGTTGTTTATATAGAACTTTAGAGTTAACAAGTCATTGCTCAACTTTTGGAAATGTTAAGATGTGTTTGAGTGGGAAAGGCTGCATGACTTAAAAACTTTTGTTTTTCCCCTTTTTGCAAAACTAAATAAAATTTTGTCAAATATGAATCATGTTCACTATATCTGAATGAGTAACACTGTGATGAAACTTGAGTTTCTAAGAGAATAACTTTTTGATCCCCTGGAAACATTGTAATAGGAAGAAGGACCCCAGTTTGAGAGTGAAAGATTCACAAGGACCAAAGTGGACATTAACCTTATCTATAATATGTGGTTTTAAAAGAACATATAATTGCGTGTTACTGGGTACATAAGGTTCAGTTTTTTTAAAGGTGGAAAAGTAAATTAGCAAAGTATTAGATCCAGACAACACACTCTGAACTTAGTATTTCCTAAAGTATATAATGTGCCACCTCTGGTATAGAAAAATTTTGTCTGTTATAAAACTTTTCTTCAACAAGATTGCCACAGATTGTTTCAAGAAAACTAAGAACACAATGAAATAAAAAAGCACTCTTAAATGTATACTTCATGGGACTAACCAAAAATATAACTTGTCAGCTCGAAAACTAAGGGAAAAGATGATTTGACTCTTTATATTAATAACAATCAAAAGACACTGAAAATGTTCATATTAATTGCTGTTCTTATTTCAGCAGTTTCATATCCTGCTGAAGTAAAATCCAGTTACTTCAGTAATTTCCTAAGTCGGCATTCTTAACTCAAGGTTTTTAAAATAAATACATACATACAAAGGCACTGTAATTACTCTTCCCCAAATCAATACAGACCATTCAAAGCATGCTATCCCAAACTCCTCAGTATTCTACAACATAGAATTAGAAAACTATCATTTATTGATAGATTTTAAGGTGTAATACAGGTTTTCAAAAATGTGGCAGTGAGAATACCAGCATAAAAAAAGAGAAACTTGTGCTAAAAACAACCTGAATTCATCATTGGCAATATTACATAACAATCAAGGTCCTCACATACTAATAATGATTTTCACTTTGTCTATATTGCCAACCTCCCATGCATCAAAAAACACAAAACCAAGATTATCAAACTTGGGAAGCAATAAAGTACTCCATGAATTTTAAGATCATATTAGGAAAGTTTGGGAGATTTGCAAAATATATTGTAATCATCCATGTGTACAATCTCATTTCTAATCATCTTTGCAGTAATCAGTGAATAAAACAGATTTACAAGTTTATATAGCAGGGCATCTGGGTTCAACACAAAACTGTTACAAGTTTTAGGTAAATACATGTTTAAAAGACACTGCTAACACTTAAAGGAATTAAATAAAATTCCAAAACTTGGAAAGCAAATAAAGACAAGACAACTAAGAAGCATTTTCCACCATTTACTCTTGTTATCAAAAATAGTTCAACTCTTCTTGCAAAACAAAAACAAAATAGTACATACTGGACACATACATCACATTTTTCTTCCTATGGCTTTAGCCCACCCCCACCCCACCAAGAGACTGGAAAAAAAAAAGCCCAACAACAACAACAAAAACAATTCTACCTGACCACATTCACAGAAAATGACACCAGGGTACACTACAAAACAGAAGGAGGTGTCATCTGCTCTGTGTCCAAAGGTTTCGGGTTTCTTCTCCATGTTTGTACTAAGCGAGTAACCATCATTGAACATGCTGTGTGCCAAATCAAAACATTACTTCAACACATCAAATCTCACTAGAGATGGTGAACGTAGTAGAAATTGGAACTTTTCCAGCAGTATTTTTTTTTTAAGCACTGTCAAAGCAGCAACTTCTTTTAAATCATAAGGTTATTTCTTTACACCTAGTCAGTCCTTATGATACTTGGGCTGTGCTCTTTGAAGCAACTGACTAGATTTCCTTTCAACAGAATGTTTGCCTTCCCCATAAAAACTAAAGGGAAGAAATCTATTTAAACTGAAACACAGTTTGTGCTTTACATGCAAAAGAGTATTCTAAAGAAAATCCCCCTAACTTCAAACCTACCTAAATGCACAGGCTTCCTAAAAGACATTGTTATTAGGCCTCAGTAAAGAAGTCTTCATAATGAATAGCACCTTAAAAAAAAATAGGAGCATATTCAAAATAAAGTATGTGGCAAATAGAGAAAACAAAAATCAATCAGTCAATGACAATAAATATGCATAAATCTGGGTAAGTCATGGGGCATTATTTCTGAAATTATTTTAAATAAATCCCAATTTCTAAATAAAATCTAATTTTAAAAATTGTGTCACATACTAGTCTAGATTCAGTTACTGCCAGATTAAGTGTTGATTTATCCAATCAGAACATTGCTCAAAGTGAAGGATTTAGAATTTTTTCCAGAAATGAGTCAGACTTAACTAAAAAGGGGGTTTAACTGTCACGAAGAGTTTTGGAGCATAGACAACTAAACTTTGCAGTCTGACAAAATTTCAGTTTGTTCACTTTTTAAAGGACAGATTTCTTGAACATTCTAATGAGAGGCAAATTTTCTTTCATAATACTGCTGATTTAAGGACTGCTACATACACCAGTAGCCAATTTTCATGATCAGAAATGGTATTATGTCAGCACAAAGGTTGAGCTGGATACATCAGCTTTCAACAGGAGGTCAATGTTGCACCTGAAGGCAGCACTGAATCAATCTCCTGAATAAACTAATGGCTACTTTCCCACCAAAAAACAGCACAATCTTTGTAGACTGACTGGATACCAATTCCTTACATTTAATCATAAACTTTGATTATGCACAAAGCATGACCATTAACAATGAGGTTAATGTTTTATTTTCCTTGCCAAAGTTCATTTTGTATAAATCAGTTGCATCAGCATTTGTTCTCAAACTATGAGGTTCTGTAAGAACTAAGGACATATAGTTGTAGGGTTACTCCTCCATTATCTGCAAACTATTTCCCCGACACTAACACATATAACTTAGCAATGAAAACACTTGATACAAGTGATCTATATGCAGGAGCTCCGGCAAGTTAAACCAACAGAACCATAGCTGCCGTAAAACTAGCTATTTCCCTACCAGAGGTAGGCTTCAAGACTCACTGATTTAACAGTCGAATCTCATGTCTATAGCTTCATCCAAACTTTTATCATCATGAGTACTGGCAGCTAAAAATGTGGTTACTGGGGACCCTGTGACATTAATTACACTGGTGCTGGTACTAGCATTACGCACAGCAATGCTAGTCACATTAATGCCCAAAGTGAGCCTGGTCTGCTCCAAGGCCTTTTCTGGCACAGCAAATGCCTCCAGCTTCTTTTCCCCATTGGCCATATAGGAGTTTTGGCAGCCACGACATATACAATCTAAGCAGGCTTTGCGGTTAGAGTAGCAAGGGCAGCGTTGGCCACGGCATGTAAGAACACTTGGATTTTGAGTAGCACGCCCACATTTACACCCTTTCTTTTCCTGGGGCTTTTTGTACACAGTCTTGGTAGGGCTTCCTGGCATAAAATGATGACTAGGAATCTTTTCCTTTACTGCTTTGTCTTTTTTTAGAATACCTGGCTTGGTTTTAGAGTGAGATTTCTTGGATCCATGTTCATGACTCTTTTTCATGCTTTTAGTAGACAAAAGTACAGTTTTGCTGATTTTGGGCGTTGTGCCTCCATTGGGAACAGTTGCTATAGGTTGAAGAGAAATTTTGCTCTCCCGCTTCACTGTCACAGGAGCAGATGCTCCCAGTGTTGGGCCTCGGATAATGGTAGAAATTGGAAGTGGCTGAACTTTCTCACTGTCGCTTTCTGATCTGGACCGTTTTCTATTCAATTTTGCTGCCTTCGGAGTTGCTGCTGTACATGACAATCCATGAAGTGCAGGACTGGTGGACATAAAGACATTATGGCTAAGGGACTGGGAAGAAAGCTGCAAAAAAGGCCCATTGGATACAGTGGCTTCCAAGTTCGGCTGCAAATTAGGACAACAAACATCTGTATTTGAAACAGTTTCTAAGCTGCGGAGTACTTCCTCAACACTCAGCAATAGAGAGTCACCAGGTTTTATGTCTTCACTGAAACTGCAGATATCAATACCTGTGGAGCATAAATCAGTGGCTACTGTGTCACAGACAGGTGGCAGGCTATCAGACAGATCCTCAGTTTTTATGTCAACAGTATTACATACATCAATTGTATTTGAATGTTCAGGTGAAGGAATATTTATACCAAATCTATCGATTGAAAGCCCATTGTAAGTAGGCAAACCATTGATAACAGAACTGCCAATAGCAATGCTCAGGGTGCTTTCAGACATTGGGGATAAACTAGCTTGAGGATCGGTTGTTGGTTCTGAAGTTGAAGGTAAAGGGGAATGTGTCAAACACAAAGTAAAGGATGAATCTGAGGGCTTTTCTGTCTCCTCACAAAACAGTGACCCATCATTAAGCAAAGCCAAAATATCTGAAGAACAGTCGACTGCTTCTATGATATCCCGTGCAAGTGTAGTCTGTGTTATATATTCACATAGCTTTTTGTAACAATTCACTAGAATGCTTAATTGCTTGTTTTCCTCAAACTGCTCATAGTCTTTGCACCAGCTACATGAAGGTTTCATCATCATTTTCTTGCCTTTACAAGTTTTGCAGACATAATGTTGGCAGGTGGAGTTGGTGGGTGCAATAGGATCTTGCAGCAAATGTCCTAAAGGGAAGGAGGAGGAAAGCAAAGATTTTAGTAAAGTAAATTATAGTTCATACACAGGAGTTAAGATGATCAAAATTGATGTGGGTTAAACTCAAGACAAAAAAAATATATCTTATAAGAAATGAAAAAGTACTAGTGGTTTACTTCATTTCCATGCCATATTCCTTACAGGTTTATCTCAAATCAGAGTATATTACTTTATGCTGTGCCTTTCCTCCCAACTGTATGATCTAGTCCACTTTGTCAGTCTTCTCTCCAAAGGTTATTAAAATTAGCCAGGCATCTTCTCATCAGAAAATACGTAATTTCAACCAGTTTTTATCATATACAGATAGTTAGCTAGCTAATCATAAATTTTCAAGCAATCAAAATGTAGTTACAATGGTAAAAATTATGAAAAGGAAAAGCACTATTCAACTCACAATCTACAAAAAGGCAAAAAACAAAATGG